TTCCCCCCCCCCCCCAAGTTGTAATAGGTAAAACAGCCCCCATATTAAAACAATTAGCAATTAATCCCCTATGTTGCATTTTATTTAGTTAACTGCCCCGTAGTGGAAATAAATATGTTGACTAAAAGGAAGTGACTATACTACCATTCAATTAATAGAATAAAATTAGAATTAATATATAATAGAGGCCAAATTGCAATTTTACTAAACTTCCGAAACTTAAATTAGGGGATTGAATTGTAATTTTCCCAAACATAAAATCGAATTGGATTTAAATATAATTAGTCCAAAACTTTGGATTAAATTGCAATTTTTAAAATTTGTTAAATAAGTAAAAAACACATTTTTTATGGGAAAAAAAGGAAAAAGAAAAGAAAAGAGAGAAAATTGCGTCTTCCCAACTGAAATCACCATCACCACCAAAATCACAACACCACCTCCGGCAATCACATTTTCACGCTGCCGCCGCCCCTTCCTTCCACCACCCGAGAGTATATGCTAATTGTGTCGAATATATGCTAATTGTTTCAATACAAGAACTTTTTTAGCCATTAGACATTACACAAAGGTGCCGGATACTAAAACCTCATATAAATAGAGTCATTTGTCAAAGAAAATAAAGTGCATCTTTCATTAGCATCAATCTCTCCCCCCTCCTCTTTACTTTTCTCTAAGTTTTGTAATAATTAATTCAAGCTACATGTGTCTTTATATATGCTCACAGTTGCATAAGTATATATGGTCTTATAATTTCTTATAATTTTTTTTTCTTATAATAATAATAATAATATCAATGTCTTAATTTTCTGTTTTATCCTAAAAGATGATTATAATACACGTGGTTAGTACAGATTAGTCTTGTTAGCGTCATATTTCAAAGGGATCCGTGGCGCAATGGTAGCGCGTCTGACTCCAGATCAGAAGGTTGCGTGTTCGATTCACGTCGGGTTCAAAACTCCCGATCAATTTCCCTGTTCTCCTTTTGCATTAAAAAATGAAATGACATTAATTAAATAAAACTATTTTAGTAAAGCTTCATAGTTTAAACAAAGGGATCCGTGGCGCAATGGTAGCGCGTCTGACTCCAGATCAGAAGGTTGCGTGTTCGATTCACGTCGGGTTCAAAACCCCCGATCAATTTCCCTGTTCTTATTTTTGCACGAAAAATGAAATGACATTGCTTAAAATAAAGTATTTTAACGAGTAATTATCCCGTGGCATTCACAAATGGATGAGAATAATTATTTAAATTATATAAATATAAAAGGTATTACATAATATTAAAAAAATATTTGTGCAATTTAAATTATAGTGATAGCATAAAAAACTAAAATTATTATAAATTATGTTTTTCGCGAACAAACGAATGTATGTATTCTTTGAAAAATAAAATGAAGCACAATATATAACACTCTTGTTTGCCCAAGATCCAAAACTTGGTTGCAGAAGGTTAAAGCAAAAATTGTTGGCCTAAGAAGAGATTAAGAATTAAGAATGCAAGAAGATAACCTGAATTTTTTTTTTAATTCCTCATATACTAGTGGTGCTTGAGAACACTTAAATATAAGTATGTAAAGAAGAATCTAGCTCCTTAATAATAATTATTTCCAATGTAGAATCATCTTGAAATATCATACTGCACTACATAAACAAAATAAACTTTAACAATTTTCACATTTGCTACTTGCAAAACTGTTTGAAGACAATTATTTATATGTACTTATCTCAACGTGTTAGAATACTTCACTTTTTAACGGATCAGAGCTTTGCACTTAGTTGTGTTTCGAAGTTTATATTTATTTATGCCACATAGATTGAATTTGATTGTTATAATAATTTATCTGTTAAAAAACAATGTCATAATAATTTAAAAAATGGTTACAAAATTGTAAAAGCATTGTGATATGCCTAATTGGGCCAACCCAATAGGCCTACAATTTCCTTACATACGGGGCCACGAGCCCAATATCGAAGACCATTATCACCGAGGCCCAATCACCTTCAAGTAAGGTTTGGGCCCGACAATCTCAACTAAGCTATAAATAAAGGTTTGAACTCATTCCTTAAGGTACGTCCTATTAACTGAGCAATACTATTAACTGTATTCTCTGGACTATTTCTATGATCTAACACGTTTGACTTGAGCGTCGGAGGGGTTTCCGCCGGATCAACCCCCGGCCTAGTTCACATGTTTTATGATCGCAGGTACCTCGGGATCATCAAGTTGTCAAGCTACTGATCCGCTTTGCTCTCCTAGTTCGTTTTCTACATTACCCCAGGTGATCTAAGTAATTAGCATCATCATTTTGGCGCCGTCTGTGGGAAGGCAAACAAGACCACGTAGCGCACATGATGGCCTTGAGACATCTGCTCAGGGGAGTGTGACACTGCTAACAACCTCCCACCTAGTGGAGGCTCTGGCTTGTCACATCCTCCTCCCCATGCTCGGGATCTACTACGAGGCCTTCCTCGGATGTCCCACTAGATCCTCAACAAGATTCACTTCTTCCCGCCCCTCGATCGGTTCAGACAATCGAGGAGGCCCTTCAACACTAGTAAGGGTTATCGACTCCCTGGGGGTATACAGTGCCCCCAATAAAAAAAAAAAAAGAAAAAAAAAAGAAAAAAAAAAAAAAGAAAAAAAAAGCTCGGGCACGATTCCCGAGGCGCGCGCAAGCACGAATCCCGAGACACGCACGACACGCTTCCCGATGCGCACATCCGGCACGCTTCCCGAGGCAAAAAAAAACGGGCACGATTCCCGAAAAAAAAATTCGGGCACGATTCCCGTGGCGCGCGCGGGCACGAATCGCGACACGCGCGCGACACGCTTCCTGAGGCGCGCATCCGGCACGCTTCCTCAAAAAAAAAAAAAAAAAAAGAAAAGAGGAGGAAAAAGTGAAAAATTGCGTTTCAACCCTACGACGTTCCATTTCCACCTAAAATTTACAAGGACCAATATTACTACAAAAACTGATGTACCAATACCAAATTTGGATCTCGAGTTCATGCTAGTAATATCCATGCATACACAGTTTAACATGTATGTAAAGTGAAAAGCATCTAATTGACATATAAAGTATAAAAGTCTGGCCAAATAAATAAAAATAAAAATAAAAGTCAATCCCAAAGCAACTAAACATATAAAGTTTATCGTAAAATTATCATGTTATTCATGAAAAACAATATAATTACTATTCACCAACAACTATAATATAATGTGAAGCTAATGTAGTCATATTAATTGCACTAAAGAACTAACTACCAAATATATCATCATTAAGTCACAGCACAAACATACTACACTGTAATATGTAGCTAAAAATGTACTTACATAATTTTTTTCACACTGTGGAGTAGCCCACCCCTTCCCTTCCTTATAATGACAATGTTTGTAAAATTTTATCCTATCGACTTCATTATCACCACCACCATCATCATCACCATCAGTATCACCATCATCCTCCACTTCTAGTTCTTTACTCTGTAAAAATTAGATAGAGTTAAATCACATTTTGTTATACATAAATATTTTATATTATAGAAAATTCCAAGTAACTTACAAGCATATGACGAGCTGCTACGAAAGACCTAGAGCCTTGATTATGATTTGTAATCATCCCTTTTCGGTTGTTCTTATTTATTTTGCATCTTTCCTATAAAGTTGATTTACATTACAAAATGCATAATAAATATTAGAAATTTATTTTCACGAAGAAGATCATACCTTGTAGTGAGAATCGCTAAAAAAATTAGTGCATAATGATTCCCAGTTCGCTTGAGTTAAGCCTCCATAACGTGGCTTATTTCGAATTGCTTCCTCTACCGATGAGAACTTCCCAAAATGTTTATTCAACCTATGGCGTTGGTGTCTGCTTCGATGCTTCAAAAGTTCCAGGACGTTCTCTTTTGTCTCTCCTTCTGGATTATCGATGGACAAATGCATCTACAAAAAAGATATTAAAAATTGTAATAAGATGAACAACATAAATAAATACAGATTTAATAATTTTGCAAAAGTATACTAACACCAAGTTGATCAAAAGCCACCGATAACTCAGACTTTTCAAAGTCCTTCCATTTAGCAGGTACACGCATCGGTTCTCGAGAGAGTATCCCAAGCTCACTTGATAACTTCGCCGATTCCACACTATCAAGTGGTCTTCCGTGTGTAGAATCAATGTGAACAACCAATTTTTGTTTCTTTTGCTTATTTAATTTTCGAAGGGCTATCCCTCGAGTGCCCCCTCAAACATTCGTTTTGCTGATAGAAGCTACATTATAAAAAAATTATAGAAGTTAACTTAATAAATATAAATTTATACTTATTTGTAGCAATAGTTTGTAAAGATTAACAATTTACCTATGCTACTATCAGGAGATTGTGGAACGGCATCCTCTTGTTCCAAGGGAGACAATGATCCTTGAGAATGCGATTCCAACGTCAATGGGATAGCAGGATGTGTAGCTCTTCCAGATGATGTATTTGCTCGATTGCGAATCGTATTAACCATTTTTTAATTCCTGATCAACAACAAAAATATTTATACTAAATCAATTTTCATATCTATTTTAAGAATACTGTTTTCACTTGTTTCTTATTAAAAACGTTTAACAAATTCAAAACTTCTCCTTAATCCTACAATGTACACTAAGTATCAATTTCTTCAAAAGATTACCTCAACACCTTCTAGTATCTACATACTCAACTATACCAAAATTCTAAGTAAACATGGAGAAAATCTTTCAATTCTATTTTATCAGTAGATTCACTAATGCTTATGCTAATTCTTTTAATCTGGAAATTAACTGGAAATTAACAGGTTGGATGTTAGTTTCAAATTGTTTTTAAAACTATCCCATTCTCCAAATAGAAAAATAAAGGGATGAAGTTCTGTTCTGATAAATTTGAAAGAAGGAGAACTAGGAAAACAAGCCAATTCTTTTTCATTATTTAAAAAATGCGATTGATTTAGCAATATCATGTTTATATATTTACACACATGTACAATATACTCTATTCAATGTAGAAAACCAAAAAAAAAAATTCCTACTTGAAATAATGCTTGTACAGGGAAAACTAAATTATAATACTTACCTGAATGTCGGTGCTCCCACCAAAGCAACTATCGTGCCACCTACAAAAGTCAGTCACCGCCACTGCACAAATTAAACCCACAAATCATCCAAGAATGTGATATGAACTGTGATGGGTTATTCTATATAGAATTGAAATTTGCCGAAAATTAAAGCGGGAGTAGTATGTAACTATGAATATTTAATTGTAAAAAACACTGAAACTCCCTCCTTAATAATATCGTGGAGTGAATAGTGTGGACGTGTCTTTTTTGAGTACAATGTGATTGAGGTTTGTGTGGTACGTGGTGGGGCCTCCTAATATTGGCTTGCAACTATGGCCCCTGGAACTATTAATAACAATAATATATTTTTTTCTTTTTTGAGAGTTAATAATAACAATAAATAATGTCAAAACATGTCTATAATAGTTAAATAAATATGTATAAAAGCTTAATTACATCAATTTTATTTATTAAAAACCTACTTTGAAGAAATTAAGCAATATTAATATGATATTATTATATTATAAAATAATTAATCCATTAAATGGACTTAATGAATAATATGTTTATTTTATTTAATTGCACCTATATTCGTATGGGTGTAATTATGTCCATCTAACTCGACAAAAGTTCGAGCTCGTTCCTTCTAACAAACCTGATTCATGGCTATTTTTAATTTATTCATGAGTTCATTAGACAACTCGCAAGTTTTTTATTTATTTATTTATTTTATTTTTTATTTTTTACATAATATTTTATAATAAAACATATAATTTTTATAATAATATAATAAAATAGTCAAACAATTGTTTAACGAGACCCCTCGATTTTCAGTGAATAAAACTTTTCTTTGGCCCAAAAAGAAAATATAATTAATAAAAAAGTATATTTTAGTTCATTTTTTACTTTATTATAAAATAAATAGTTTTTAAAAATAAAAATAATAAGAGTAATACTTAAAAAACACCAAGATCTGATATCCAACTCATAAAATAATTCGATGAGCTCAATGTCGTAAAAGTGGACTCGATCTTCAGCTCGAGCTAAAAAATATGTTGAGTTCAGCTCGAGGTCGACTTGTGTTGCTATTATCTAAAATCTTAATATTGTATCTTGGAGTATATTCTATTTACTACAAAAATATGATTAATCTATTTTGTTTAAGCTAGTTGATTTAAATCGAAACACATTAAATATATTTTAACTTTTAAGTAAAACGATATCATTTTGTTTAATATTTGGCAATATAGTAAACTAGTAAAATATAATAAATATATAAAATTATGTCTTCGATTATGACTAATACCTGAATAAAATTGTCAGTTAATAAAACAAAATTATTCAAATAATAACGGGTTTCGACCCATTAATATGGAACCATAACCCTAAATCCTTATCAATAGGACCGGCAATTGAGTCGGGCCTAACCGAAGTCCAATAGCTCGACCCTATTATATTTGAGTCTAGCCTATGTTTTAGTGAGTCAGGTCGAACTGGAGCAATTTTACTAAACTGGATTTGTTTATGAACCGAGTTAGAGCCTTCTATGGCTCAACCCGAATAAGGCTCGACTGATTAAGTTAATATTAAAATATATAATATATTTATTATTTTAATGATGTGGCTCGAATACAAGTTACAATCGTATAAATTATTTTATTTTGTAAAGAAAAGTGAATAAAAAGGAATTAAAGTGGTGGCGGTGGCAATCGGTAAAATAGAAATCAATTACAACATACGCATCCAAACCTAATTGTTGAAATTAGATTTAAGAATATAAAACGTTTCAAATAAGAGATAATCTATTTTGTACTTCTTTCAGCATTGTTTGTAAGTTTTTTCCAATAACTTGAAAAGATTGTTTATGGTTTATGTGAATTGGCTTTAATGGAGGTAAATCTTGTTTATTACTTATTTTTCAAACATCTCTTTTACTTATTACAGTTTTATAATAACGAGGTCCTATATAAACCCGAAACTCGAAAAAAAACATGAGCCGAGCTTGAGCTTATACTAATGAGGTTTGATAGTATATGGACTTGAGCTTATGGTAACGAGGCCCGGCGGTATGCGAGATTGAGCTAAACCCAAGATCGCCTCATATGACCCGATTATCAGCCCTACCTATCAATAACGTTTAAAAACGCTACTATAAGATTTCATAGTTTTTTAAAATGCTATGTATGACGGAGTAGGGGTGTGAGCGAGCCGAGCTCGCCTCTTTTGGCAGTCTCGAGGTCAAGCTCGGGACTATTTTGTCGAGCTCGAGTTCAAGCTCGTCGAGTTCCTTCTTTTTTGGCTCGAGCTCGAGCTCGTGTCTATTTTGTCGAGCTCGAGCTCGAGCCCAAGCTCATTTTGGTGTTTTTTTTCCAATATTTTTTTAATTATTATTCAAATTTACTTTAAAAAAAATTACAAAATAATCATTAATTAAATTGTAATTATATTTATTTTTTAATATGTATATTTTATTTTTGTTTATTTCTATAATATTTTATATTATTTAAATAAAAAATAATATATATATAAATAATAATAATAAATATAATAATAAAAATAATAAATAAGGCTCGCGAGCCGGCTCGTGAGCTCGCGAACAACTAAAAACTGGCTCGAGCTCGGCTCGTGAGAAAGCTCGAACTCGAGCTTCAAAAATTCGAGTCCGATTTCGTGCTTTTTTTGAGTCAGCTCATCGAGCTCACGAGTCGCCTCGGCTCGTTTATCACACCTATGACAGAGGTATAATAGGTTCAACCTATATGAAACACTATTGTATGTGACTTCTACAATCACATTCTTATTGAATGTCAAAACCAAAAAAAAATATACTCATTAAATATAATTGAATCTGCTGAACAAAATAGAAAAAAAAATGAAGTAGCAATATTGTAGTATTCAAAATAATACATAAAAATAGATAATGCGATAATGTCTCGACAAAAAAACTAATGCTACTCTCTCGAAGTTCGATTTACCACCTTGGTGAGCTGAAAAAAGGGCAATAAAAAATAAATTAAATTAGTTAATAAAAACATAATGACTATATAAATAAATAAATATAACAAACTCTTCGTTCTTGTTGTTTATCGAACAATAAACCATAACCAGTTTGTAGCTAGATAAGCTATTTCACAACCTGTAATCAAATATGCACCTTTAAGCACACTTTCTCACCTCCAAGTATTAGAAACTTGAGAAGGAAAAAAATAACGTCGTGAAGCTCAAAGTCGTATTTTATCTACCATCTAGTCAGGTAATTCCATTCCATCATAAAAAATTACTGATAATGATATGGTAAAACAAAATTGAATACTACATCTAATGTACTAAATCTAATGTACAACATCTAATGTATAAAGTTGTGCTTAATATTGGTTACCCCTCTCCTAGAATGTCTACATATTTGTTCACAATCGTCTTATTCACAAACACCGAGTGACAAAATCGTACCATAAATTAAGAATTTTACCCGAAACAGAAGAATATTTTAAAATCTGAAAGCATTTTATGGACTGCAATTTTCATTAATCCGGGAAGCCAAGAAAATGATGTCTGACCATATGATCATTTTTCCAGAATTATATTAGTAACAGTGCTAAACATCATACAACATCATGTAGTCAACTAAGATCACATTTAACAATAAACTCAATTGAAAACAAATTATCGCACCCTATTGAGTGCAATATAAAAAAAGTTGCGTTTTGAATAAAAAATTATCGAGATACACAAACCAATACCAGATTGGTAAAACAACTAAACTCTTGCCCAAATTACTCTCAACAAGAAGGAATATAATGATATCAAACAAAGTTGAAATAGTTACATAAGCTCAGGAGAAAACTAGAAGTAAATGAAAGAGAAAAAAAATCATATATACTTGACATCGGAAAAAATAAACTAATTTTATACCTATTAATAAAAAAAAAACTAATTTTATACCTGCGCCGTATACCCAAAGCCAGTCCGAAGATCGTATATGAGAAGAAATTTTCACTTAATCCAATACTTCAACAAGCTGCAGGGACATAAAAACAGAACTTCAAACTTATAAGTTATTCGCATTTACAATTTTATACTTACTAGCATATCACAAGGTAATATAAATGAACTTACTACCATATCACAATGTACTTTAAATGATCTTAAAAAGCCTTAGCTATAAGTCATTCCAAGTCACTATCATCATCGCTGATTTGAAATTCTTCCTCAACGTCACAATAATTATCCAACGTATCATCTTCTTCATAAGCATCATCTTCAACTGCATAACTTTCCAAGTCTTGAATTATATCAACCTGAACAACTTCGGGATCAACATCTTTTCTCTCAAGGGACACTAACTCTACTAAATCACCTTGAATGGATATAGCAGGTTGTGAAGATTCATCTTCTTGGTAGACATTATCGTCCTCCCTAATATCTCCATCATCCATATCTAAGGAGTCGAAAACGTGGCGATGCTGAAATTTTACTACGATTTTCCAATATTTGCCCAATTTCATATCATCAAGATAGAATACTTGTTTTGTTTGACATGCAAATATAAACGGGTCATCTTCATACCAAGTACGACTGATATTGATGCTAGTGATTTTCCCATCATGTATAATAGATTTCTTGTTGCCAAGATTAAACCACTGTGCCTTAAAAAGAATAACATGATTGTCTTTAATATAGTCTAGCTCAATTATTTCAATCACGGTGCCGTAAAAATCAATGACAGTGTTATTATGGTAACCTTCAACCATAACACCACTATTTTGTGTTGTACGATGACTATCCCGCTCCTTGGTATGGAATCGTACTCCATTTACAATACAACCCGGATACTTGTTCACAATTTTACTAGGTCCACATGCTAATGCATACAATTCATCTACGTCTTCTTCTGGATTTTGTGATTTCTTTTGCGCCATCTACAAAACACATAAAATATTATTAGAGCATATAAAATCGAAAACAATAAATTACAAAAATTAACTAAGTTTAAATTATTTCTCTTACGTGATGCTTAAACCACTCTGGAAATTGCGCTTTATGTCTATCTTCTAAATTCAAGATACTTTCTTGCTTGAGTATCTCTTTGTGCATCCTATAAAAAGAAAAAAAATATTTTTTAACGATTTGCGAAAAGTAAATGCTTATAAAAAGAAATGATTATGTTATCATCTTTAGAAAATCGATTACTTACAGGTGAAATTGTTCCATTTCTTCACAATTATTCAAAATATACCAATGAGCCAAATCTACCTCTTCTCTAGGAGGCTCACTATATTTTATAGCTCCAAATGTTCGTGTCTTTTGTGAGAAAACGGACAACTTACGATCAACTTCTATATCCATATTCCTTTCTTCTTTGTTAAAAGAAGTTTCAATTCCATCAAGGTACATTGAGCAAAATGTCAAACATTCATTGACTATATAAGCTTCTGCAATAGAACCTTCTGGACGAGCTTTATTGCGCACATAACCCTTTAGTGTACCTAAATATCTATTAAATAATATTAATTAATAATAAATTATATTGCTCTAATTATCATGATAATCAATAAATGAATCTGCAATCAAAGATATGTAAATATAAACTAGATTAATATTTATATATTACCTTTCAATAGGGTACATCCATCGGTATTGAACTGGTCCACCTAACATTACTTCATGTGGTAGGTGCACAGCCAAATGCACCATAACATCGAAAAAAGCTGGTGGAAAAATCATTTCAAGCTTACATAATATCTCAACGATGTCTTTTTCCAATTTATTTACGTCTTCTACCAGCAATTTTCTGCAACACAACCTCTGAAAGAAATCCCCTAACTCAAGTATTGCAACGCATATGTCTTTGCTCAAACATCCACGAATGCCATATGGAAGTAATCGTTGCAAGAGAACGTGACAATCATGACTTTTCAAACCCACTAACTTAGTTTCAGACACATTTACACAACGAGATATATTAGAAGCATATCCATCTGGAAACTTTTGTGCTTTAAGAAATTCGCAAAATTGTTGTCCTTCTTTCTTAGACATTGCATAAGCTGCTGGTGGTATATCATATCTGCCATCATTTCTTTTCTTTAAATGCAATTCCTGTCTAATGTTCATATCCTCCAAATCTTTTCTTGCTTTATATGTATCTTTTGTCTTCTTATCCATATTCAACAACGTCCCCAAAATATTATCGCAGATATTTTTTTCAATGTGCATGACATCAAGATTGTGTCGTAACAGTATTGTCTTCCAATAAGGCAATTCAAAAAGAATGCTCCTCTTAGTCCAATTTAAATCTTGTTTATCTCTCTTGTTTTTCTTCAAACGAGGATGTTTCCCAGCTTTAACACCTTTTAAATGCATCGTTTGTTGAGATATATCATTTCCTGAGTAGTCATCTGGTGCCATGCTTAATTCTTCTTTTCCGTCAAACTTTATTTTATTTTTTCGCCATTTATGAACACGAGGCAAGTATCGACGATGGCCCATATAACAAATTTTACTTCTCAATCTCTTGGAACATGTATGTTTATTACAGACTGGGCATGCCATATAACCCTTTGTACTCCAACCAGATACACAACCATACGCAGGAAAATCGTTAATTGTCCATAAAAGAGCAGCATGCATTTGAAAATTCTTCTTAGAAAACGCATCATAGGTTTGCACACCTTCATTCCACAAGTCTTTTAATTCATCAACTAACGGTTGTAGGTATATATCAATATCTTTACCCGGCTGATGTGGTCCAGGAATGAGCAATGACATGATGAAATATGATTTTTTCATGCATTTCCAAGGAGGCAAGTTGTATGGAATGATAATTACGGGCCACATGTTGTAAGAATTACTCATAGTACCAAATGGGTTGAAGCCGTCAGTTGCCAAAGCAAGTCGAACGTTACGGCCATCTTTTGAAAAATTAGGATGCTCTTGATCAAATTTTTTCCATGTTCTTGCATCTGCCGGATGTTTCAACTCTTTCTCATCATTTATTCGCTTGTCCGAATGCCATCTCATATATGCTGCTATTTTCGGTGACATAAACATCCTCTGTAACCTCGGCTTTAAAGGAAAGTGGCGCAATATTTTATGAGGAATTTTCTTTCCCTTACCATTGTTAACTTTCCATCTCGAAGTACCACAAACTGGACAGTCTTGACAATTTTCATAGTCTTTCCAGAATAAAGCACAATCATACTTACATGCATGGATTGCAGTGTATCCCAAACCCAAGTCGTTTAAAATTTTTTTCGCATCATAGTATGATTTTGGAAGAGTTTCACCATGAGGTAAAGCCTTTTTCAGCAGTGTTAACATCATGTCAAATGACTTATTGCTCCACTTATTATAAACTTTTATGTGAAGCAAATGCACGATGAAAGATAAAGTTGAAAACTTCGAGCAACCTGGATAAAGCTCTTGTTCAGCCTTATTTAATAGCTCAAGAAACGTCATAGGTATATCTTCATCTTCCTCGCTTTCATTTGGGTTAGGGTCTTTGTCAAAACGACCGGCATGTTCGTAAAAATTTCCAAGATCGGCCAACAAGTCTTTCACTCCATTTGTGTAGTCGTCATCCTCATTCACATCATCATTATCAGAATCACTATGAGAAACTTGATAATCAAAGCATTCACCATGATGAATCCACCTAGTGTATTCAACGTCTATCCCTCGAATAAGTAGATGATCAAGCACTTCTTTTTTACTTCTAATATACGAGTTCAAGCAAAATGTACAAGGACACTTCATGTCACAATGTTGGCCAATATGTTCGTCCACAAACTTCATAAATGATCGAACCCCTTGTACATATTCACTAGAAAACTTTTTAGCAGTCATCCAACTTTTGTCCATCATATACGACCTATTGAAGTATAACATACATTATTGCCATGTTCATGTATAGAATGTCAGCTCACAGATTACATGTTATAGGACAAAAATAGAACATAAACATTTTAAACATACAAATATATGTGTATATATGTATATAGAAATTTACATACATAAACACAAGTGTGTCTATTTGGAAGATATTAGTTCAAAACTTCTCCTGAAAACACTTTCCTTGCAACATAACTTATAACTAGAATTTTTAAATTATTTTTTATAATGTTAAATGCGTATACTGTATAAAAACTAAATAAAGGGTATTTAAACGTCATTCGTGCATTGATGATTTTCAAAGCTTTTTCAACGACTAATCTAGAATAATTATTCAATTTTTCCAGTTATTAGGAAGCGACTAGGCTGGTATTTTCACAAACAAGTGTTTTATATTCTAATTCTCATATGCATAAAGATATCAAAAATTTGATCGTTTTATATTCTATTGACTATTCAATAGACAAAAGTTTATAAATTTTCTATCTACATATACTTAGCCTTCAGTAAATATACAAACACCAAGATAATAGAGAATATGAAGTGCATCTATATGATCCCAGATCACGCGATAAAGCTACTATCGATCCACGTATACCACCCAATTAACATTAGCATGCAAATACAATACAAGACTGACGTCTCCGAGCAGGTTTGTTAGAGAAATTAACTTAATCCAAAAAACAAATTCGCCATTTAGACAATGAAAAACTCGTGATCAATAATTGTCGTGCATCCAGTGGAATGATTAAGATATTGCTCCAATATATATATATATATATATATATATATATATATATATATATATATATATATATATATATATATATATATATATGTGTGTGTGTGTGTAGAGAGTAAAAGAAAGAAAGAATAGCCAACTCTGAGCAAATCTTCTCTGTTACCAGAATTTTTTTTTCATTTTTTTTTTATAAAATCCATCTTATATAGGTAATACATTCAGTACATGTTACAATTATTATATTATTATCAACCTGATTAATTTTACATCTCTCTTGTTAACATCAAATATCAATTTCTTGTTTGGGGATAAATATAAATTAACTAAATTATACAGGGAAAAAATAACATTTAGATAAACATATAAAATCACTTGAAAAGGAAAAGGGTTGAAAATAGGATTTACCTAGTTTGCGCAATATACGTACCGAAAGTCGTCACTGGCGTTGTGTTGTCGCCGGAAAAATCAACTCAGCTCGTTCTTCGATCGGTGAAGAAATCAAAAACATCCACTGTCCTTTGGAGATTACCTCAAATTTTGTGAGAACGATTTAGTTTCAAACTTAAGTTTAAATCGGAATTGATGTTGGTGTCGTAGATAAATCAATTTATGTCTTCTGGGAAACTTTTATAATCCGGCGGAAGTAATGGCAGCTGTTTTCTTGTAGCAGCTAGTTTGTTGCATCTGGTTTTCTTTTCCTTTTCCAATTAGGTATTTGCCGTCTTATATGGGTACCAATTGAAAAGCCAATTTTGACTTTTTATTTGCACATTTATTAATAACAATTAAATATTATATAAGTTTCTTTTATTGCATTAATATCACCATTAAATATTAATTGTACTTTATTGCTAATTTAATTATTAAATCAAATAGTGTAAAATCTTGGTTACTATTTCGGTAACATGTGTTTGCTCTAATTAAATTATTTATTATAAAGTTTGAAGGAAATATGTATATGATAATTATTTAAAAAAGAATACAAAATGATAAGGTATCGAAATTATTATTTCTCACAAATATTTTATATTTTAGTATATATCAAAGATATTAGGGTAAATAATGAAAACCCCTGAATTTAGGCTAAATAACTAAACATACCCTATCCATAATAACTAAAATCCCCCTCTGATTAGATGTTCATCGAGTCTTTTAACATAAAATATGTACAATTTGTTATACCTTCTGTTAAATATGTGAGAATTAAAAAAAAAAAATCTGAAATTGTGTAAAATCTATTCCCTGGAATCAAAAAACTAAGTCCGCGAAAAATACACTGTAAGGAGGTTGGCGAAAGACCGAAACAAAGCTCAGGGGATTTTTGGTAATTACGAATAGGTGTGGGTATTTTTCATTATTTAGCCTAAGTTTAGGGGGTTTTCGTAATTTACCCAAGATATTATTTCAGTGGCTCTCACAAAATTAAAGGAGTGTTCATTCGGTAAAATCGTACTGAAAATCGGTTCGCCAAAATTCCATAAATCAGTAAATTACTGAATTACTAAAAAAATAATTTAAAAAATTTAAAAAATAATTAAGATTTCAATCTTGATTTCATTTAATAGTGTTTAGTATATAAATAATAATGATGTTGTACTAGATATATAGATAAATATATGTAATAAAATAAAAATATATAAAAAAATTGGTATTGTATAAAACGCTATTACAGAAATTCTGAAAGTCAAAAGGACAAAATTTACTTGTCAAATTTTCGATTTGGCAAGGGTTCGACCACTGTACTGAACCACTCAACAATACTCTACTTTCAAAAATTATAGGCAACAAAATATTTTTGTTCTAGTTGCTAATATATTTACCACACAATTTTATGCATAACTTTTGTATACATTAAATTATATTTTGGCTACTATTATATTTTGTTGCCAATTTATATTGATTGTTTACAACAAAATATTTTGTTGTCTTTTATAACTTATTAACAACAAAATGTAGTTTATTGCCGAATAAAATATATTTGCTACAATGTAAATCGTAGCAAAAAAACCAACTCTTTTGCAACCAAATTATTTGTTGTAATTTATTTAATTTGTTGCCAAATGTATAAGATATTATGCGCTACAATGAGTTTCGTTGCCTAATGGGATAAAAAGGCTACAAATATATTTTGTAGCCGAAACCTTAAACTTTATCAACGAGTTCATTTTTTGTTGCTAAAACAAGACTATTCGCAACGAAATTGATATTGTAGTTAAAAAATTCGTTGCCAATTGTACAATTTCTTGTAGTGACTCGAGGAAGTCCCTATCAGCTCCTCATAAAATTCTTAACAGCTCAACACTCTCTCTCTCCGTGCACTACATGCGCGCGTGCCCCCTGTGGGTTAGTGCCCCTCCGGACCCCAAGTGCGCGCGAACTCAGGCACATCAGCGTCCTACAATGCGTGCCGCCTCTCCTACCTCGTAGCGCGCGCATACCTGAGGTCGCGCGCAACTCTCAAAATTCTACCTCAAATCGCGTGAAGATTTTGACGCACTTTACTAAATCGCGCGAGAATTTCTGTGCGCTCCACCAAATCGCTTGATAGTTTCACCTCGCTTAACCAAATTGCGCGAGCTCTTCAACGCACCTACCAAATCGCGCTCGCTATCAAACGGATAAATAAAAATTATTATTTCTCCACACCACGCCAACGATTAACAAAACATTGCATCACCGATCTACTCTCGACACGATCCGGTATCCTTTTCGACGTGGCTCCCACATCGTCTCGAGAGTGGGGGGCTTGCGAGACAACTCCCACGAGGAGCCAACTCGCTCAGTAATACAACCCGCAGCGAGACAACTCCCACGAGGAGACAACTCGCTCGGCCATACAACCCGTTTCGAGATAACTCCCACGAGGAGCCAACTCGCTCGGTACTACAACCCACAGCGAGACAACTCCCACGAGGAGCCAACTCGCTCGGTACCACAACCCACAGCGAGATAACTCCCACGATGAGACCACTCGCTCCGTCCTATAACCCGTTGCGGGACAACTCCCACGACGAGCCAACTCCCTCGGATCTACGAAACCACAGCGAGATAACTCCCACGAGGAGACCACTCGCTCCGTCCCACAACCCATAGCGAGACAACTTCCACGAGAAGATAACTCGCTCGGTCATATAACCCGTTGCAGGACAACTCCCACGAGGAGCCAACTCTCTCGGGTCTACGAAACCACAGCGAGATAACTCCCACGAGGAGACCACTCGCTCCGTCCCACAACCCATAGCGAGACAACTTCCACGAGAAGATAACTCGCTCGGTCATATAACCCATTGCGAGGCAACTCCCACGAGGAGCCAACTCCCTCGGGTCTACGAAACCACAGCGAGATAACTCCCACGAGAAGACCACTCGCTCCGTTCTACAACCCGTTGCGAGGCAACTCCCACGAGGAGCCAACTCGCTCGGTACCACAACCCGCAACGAGACAACTCCCACGAGGAACCAACTCGCTTGGTACCACAACCCGCAGCAAGGCAACTCCCACGAGGAGCCAACTCGTTCGGCATTACAAACCAGTTACAAGGCAACTCCCACGTGCAGCCACTTCGCTCGATAATAAGACTCGCCGCGAAACAACTCCCACGAGGAGACAACTCGCTCAGAGCGACCTCAATACGCACGCTCCTCAGTCGCGCATCATCCAATGCTTCTACAACTTCGTTGCAAGACAACTCCCATGAGGAGACAACTCGCCCGAAATTCACTATATAATCGCAAGCTCAAGTTAGCACGATTACAACCCTAGAAACACTTAGAAATATTATGGGAATCTATATAGCCTGGCCAGCTTGATTACTCAAATTTATCTACTTGTTTTCGATAGGTCCTTCATTAAAACGTGGCCACAGTCCAAACATACTTACGACCCACAAGGTCTAACAAAGGGCACGATCCCCATATAAAAATCTTGAGAGCCTGATCCCCTCCTCAAGTACATCACGCAGAAGGCTATATGTAAACACATACAAGCAAAGCGTCAAAACATTGACAATGTCGATAAATAACAACTCCCACGAGGAGAATACTAGCTCCGTGCTACTACATCATCAAGAGACAACTTCCACGAGGAGATAACTCGATCAACTCTATTACCCCACAAACGAGATAACTCCCACGAGGAGATAACTTGATCAGCGCTACCACATCGTCGTGGGACAACATCGACGACTCAAGTCACTTACATCGCGACAACTTGGTCGCGCTGCGCGCCAACACGCCTTCACGCCCCTCCGACACACGCTCCAACGCGTTTTCACACACCATCGACTACTAATATTTTTACTCTCGACACGATATGTCACCCATTTCAACATGGCCCCCACATCGACTCGAGAGTGGGGGGCTTAATGATATGCCTAATTGGGGGAACCCAATGGGCCTACAATTTCCTTACATACGGGGCCACGAGCCCAATATCGAAGACCATTATCACCGATGCCCAATCACCTTCAAGTAAGGTTTGGGCCCGACAATCTCAACTAAGATATAAATAAAGGTTTGAACTCATTCCTTAAGGTACGTCCTATTAACTGAGCAATACTATTAACTGTATTCTCTGGACTATTTCTATGATCAGCACGTTTGACTTGAGCGTCGGAGGGGTTTCCGCCGGATCAACCCCCGGCCTAGTTCACATGTTTTATGATCGCAGGTACCTCAGGATCATCAAGTTGTCAAGCTACTGATCCGCTTTGCTCTCCCAGTTCGTTTTCTACATTACCCCAGATGATCTAAGTAATTAGCATCATCACATTGTTACAACTTTGTATGGATAAAATGAGAATTGATATGATTTTATCGACACGTTGCGTTTGTAATATTTTAAGTACGTACTACAGGTGGTCAAGATTCGTATAAGAGTTGTTAAAAATGTTAATAATATAGAAACTGTAGTTCTCAGAAAAAATAAAACCAACTGTTATTCTGTTGCATTGTGCTATACAAATAATCCGCATCAAATATAATTGCATTTGCACAAATATCTAATAAATAAATTTGAAAAT